ATGAATTACACATCCAAAAGTAAGGTCGATGGAGAGTATTCACCCAATTCCATTAATACAACCAAGATATCAAACACATCCACAAGTAAGCTCAGTGGCAAATATGAATTCCATCTCGGTACCGATCCTAAAGTTGTGTCACACACATCTACACTTATAGAAGGAGAGTGTGAATACGAAAGATAACTCACCCGGGGAGGTAAGAACTCTGTCGAATGATTGCATGAAGCACAGTGACTGGTAGGTGGTCTCTCCACGCTCGATGTGGAGGGAGAATATTTTAACAAACATAGCCAATTCATGCCCAAATCTACAAGCGACCCGAGAGCTGGATTGATCCATGAAAGACTTAGAAAACCGGTGTAGGTTCTCGGTTGGTCATCAAAGATGTCATCATCGCATATGGCGGTGAGGAAACCCATCGTAGCAGAGACAAATTCCGGATAAATTGAGGCAATTTCACCTATTGAGACGATTGGTCGGGAAGATGACGGTGAGGGAAAGAGAACATTCACAGCCACCGGATTATCTTCATAAATAATATACTGGGCCCAGCCCACAGATTCATAGTGCGTGAGAAGGTTTATCGCACCAGTAGTAGGCACTTCGCCGGAGCACCACACCGGCCTGAATAACACCATCTCCGATTTGGCAGGGAGAAGATCACATGGCGAAGGGCAAGTTCTTCCAACTTTGCTCGGCCTGCACAAAATAACACAGCTCTCTCGGCCCATCAAAAGTGAGGCCCAGTCTTGGCCCATCCAAAATGAGATCCATCGGCCCATCCAAAATGAAGCCCAGTCTCGATCCCTCTCATCTTTTTGCTCGTGGTCGGAGAATGGAGAGGTGAATAGTCGGAGCCCTTTGATCGGAAAATTTCCAGCGGAAAGGAAGGAGCAACACGGATCCTCACCGGTTGATAGCCAGAGAGGGCAGAACAGTATATCTGAATGTGACAGATTTCGTCCCCGGTCTCTCCGTGTCTCGATTCGACAAATCCAAGCTGACGACACCGGAATCGGACTCGACGAGCTTGTACGGTTTGAAGTGCAGACGAAGGCTGGGGTTGTTGGTGCTTCAGATGGAGTTTTTGTTGAAGATCGATGGAAGCCCGAGGGGTAGCCCGACCGGAGGGTTAATTGTTCGGCTATTTCAACCGAGAGGGGAGTACAGACGGTGGTGAGTCAAGATCAATAAAGACTCTGCTTGCTTTCGAGATGGTGGTGGGCGGTGAAGAAAACCCGTAAGGAGACGTGGGTTGTGAAGCAGGGAGCCAAAAACGACTCGATAACCAGACACAAAACAAAAGAAGTAGAGATATCGGACCACAAAACGACGACGGCGCCAGAAAAAGGAGATCTTATGGTTGCCTCGATATTTGTGCTTGAGAGAGCGGTTAGGGTGAATCAGTCACGGGATAGCTCTATGCCAAGTAAAGAGGATATGATTCACCATTTTTGTTACTTGATATGGTCAACTTCTATTAACCATTAGATATATCAACACATTTTCTTCTTCTTTGCGAATCAAAGATGCTTGTAAGTGTAGAAGACACCCCCCCCCCACCAACCATTAAACATTTTACAATAAAAACCATTGAAAATCCAAATGAAAATTATTAGTCTAGTTGGTACATGATCAATGTATGATATTGTAACAAACAATAAATTAAGAAGTGACCCAACCAATCAAAATTGTAAGTGATGACAAAGTCCTCCATAAAATAAATTTCTGAGAAACGACACTTTAAATCCAAAAAGTGGAACAAACCAAGAATCAAACTACAAAAAATTTACTTGACTGAATTAACAATGGTCAATGACAAATAACATGAGAATAATTTCACTCTATAATTCACTGTATAACCCAATAGTCAAACGAGAGAATAATTCACCAATTAAATATTTTATAATCTATAAAATTGATAAACCTCATCTCATTTGAAACAAAAAGAGTATATAGTTTGTTTCTCTCCGTACAAACAAGCAATAAGAACCACCAGATGCATTCTTATTGCTTGTGTTTTCATCTCATTCAATCACATAATTTTCCAAGAAATCGTAACCGTTACAAAATAGATTAGTTTGTAAAATCAGAGAACCGTTGGATAAATATTTTTTTTCCTACAAAAAAAAATATTATTTATGTACTACATAAATTTCCTATTATATATAGACTAGCACTTATGATACATTCACATTATAATTTACGTTCTTATGGACTATAGAACAGAGATTCAAAAAAAAAATAAAAAAATTACCTGCATCATTTATCCTTAACGGAAAACCTACGTTTAGAAGAAAATGATATATTGTAACTTTAGATTAATAATGCATCATATATAAAGTAATTTCTAACTCTACTTTGTATTTGTAGTACAATAAATTCAGATAACTTTTCAGAATTTGAAATCATTCTTTAAGTGTAATTTAGTACCTTCTTCCTTATCGAAGAACACGTTTGTTTTATTTTCGGGGTTATCATTATCTA